AGTCCTTCCATTATTCCCAATAATAAAAAACTGCGGAATCATCAGCCTATAAACACTCGGATAATTCGTGTCTATGTTGACTAAATGATGCAGCCACCGAGATGCGTTTCTCGAAGCAACTATGCAGCATGTGCCACACTGCACACCATTCCCATGCCGATTCTCACAAGCTGATACCACTGTCCATTATTATTATTATTATTATTGTTGTTGTTGTTATTCCTAATTCTGTTACAAAGTTTGTTGAGTAGGAAATTAGATATTTCAGCGACCAAGAAAGATGCTAATCTCTGCATATTGATGAAGATGTTGATGGCTTCTTGGAGAAAGACCAAACTGAATGTGAGAAATGTTGTCCACATTGGAACCATCTTCAACAAGAATTTCACTCCCTTCACTTGTTCAACACTGCAAATCTGGCCTCTGTGTAATCTCATATGATAAATAAACTAGCAAAAATCCCTATGTGAAATTATTTAAATAGCACACTCGCCCCATTTATTATTTGAGTGTTGACTTCATATAAAAAGACACAAATACCCCACGATTTTGCGGTTAATAAATTCTTATATCTTTTAAATAGTTTAGTTATTTTATTTTTGTTATATGTTAATTATAAAGGTACAATGGAGTCTTTAATTTATTTTTATTTTTATTATCACATAGTTTTTGTATATATGTTAAATTATCGCTACATCAAAAGAAAATTTAAATTCCGCTATTATATATTTAAAAAAAATTATACTTAATTTGATTAACAAATTTTTAAATTTAATTATTTACTATTTTTTAATAATATTTTAGTTTCTAAACAATTAAATTAAAAGGAAAATATATATACATATAAATACATTTTTAGGAACAATTTCGTCATTTCACGTCCAAAAACCTACTATCAGTCGTGCAACCCGCGAGTGAACCACACTTAAGTCCACCGAGGGGGGTTTTTGCCTTTGACTAAATTTCATAAAGGGGATTTTGCTAGTTAATTTATCACATGGGGGTTTCTGTTATTTGGAAATTACACAGGAGTACTTTTTGCAGTTTACTCATTATTATAAATTATGATGAATTATGAAGTACGAAATATTTTAATTAAAATTTGAACTAATTTGGAATATATTTTCAATAGAAATAATTGAACTATTAAAAATTGAAAAACAATGTCATAAAAGAAAGAAAAAAAAAATTGTTGTGCACGACTTAAAAGGAAACATAAAGCATAGCACCTAATTAAAATTCCTAATTAATCGATTTGAAAAAAGGAAAAAATCCAAAATTCTGTTTTTCTCATCACCCTTTTCATCTCCACAGAACCCACTCACACCCATCAATATCTCTTAGCAATAATTATTTTTTTTCCTCTACAGCACAGGTCCACAGCATATCTCCCCCCCTCTCTCTCTCTCTCTCTCCCTTTTCTATTTATCTTTTCCTCATCTTTTTCGTCTATTCTTCTTCGAGTAAACTGCAAAAACTACCCCTGTGTAATCTCGAAATAGCAAAAACCCCCCTGTGATAAATAAACTAGCAAAAACCTCCCCCGTGAAATTATTTAAATAGCAAAAACCCCCCTATGGAACTATTTGAGGGTTGACTTGATATAAAAAGACACAAATACCCCTGGAGTCTTGCAATTAATAAATTCTTATATTTTATAAATATTTTAATTATTTTATTTAAAAAATAATCAATTTAGTTGTTTACTATTTTTTTTTAAATTTCTAAACAAACAAATTAAAAATAATAAATATACATAAAATATGTATATATATAAATACATTTTGAGGGACAATTTTGTCATTTCAAGTCTAAAAAATCAGCTAGGGGGGATTTTGCCTTTGACTAAATTTCACAGGGGGGTTTTTGCTAGTTTATTTATCACAGGGGGGTTTTCGCTATTTCAAGATAACACAGGGGTAGTATTTGCAGTTTACTCATTCTTCTTCCTTCATATCTAGTCACACACTACTTGTTCCGGTCATCCACGAACAGATTCATCAAATCCCGGCAGCCCACAGCCAGATCCGTCGAATTCCGGTCGCCCACGACCTACTCCACCCAGATCCAGCCACCCCACCGAACTCCGCCCAAATGCCGCCACCAACAGCCACCTCCAATGCTGTCTTTCAGTCAAAAACTGGAGTCAATGGCCGGTTTCCGAGTTCAGCGGTTTTGTCCGGTCGAACCGGGATTTAAACATTTGGACCGGGTTTTTAGTTTTTCCGGTTTTAGGGGTCGGATCGGACCGTTTTCATCACGGGTCGCGGTCGCGGTTCTGACAACCTTGGTAATAACCACAAGACACTTTTTTTCTTTGTGTCCTGCGCCTGGATAATTAATCTCATAAGGGAACTTATGAGATTAATTAGTTATATCTCGGACGGAGAAGAGGTACGCTTTTCCCAAATATATTACTCTCTTTCTTTCTTTCTTTCTTTCTTTTTATGTGGATACAATATTGATTCTATATATATATATAACAAGTGTGTTGATCTGCAAGTTGAGAAAATGTTTGGTCTTGATGTTCATAGATCTAGTGATGTTGACATCAGGGTTGGGTCCCCTGCATATTTTTTTCTTAATTCTACCAATTTTTTTTTTCTTAATTCTACCAATTTTTTTTTAATCTAATAGTTTATTGACTTTCAATTTTTTTCTTCTCTTAAATAACCCCATATTCCAGCAGTCCCAAAGAAAAATAAGTATTAAATCTATTAATACGACACTTTAATGGGAAAGTGTTTATTTATTTCATAATTATGTCTCTATTTGTGGACACAATAATTTAGATCAATTCACAAATAATGACATGTGGAGATTTATGAGATAAATACCATTATTATTTCAATTTTTTTCTTCTCTTAAATAACCCCATATTCCAGCAGTCCCAAAGAAAAATAAGTATTAAATCTATTAATACGACACTTTAATGAGAAAGTGTTTATTTATTTCATAATTATGTCTCTATTTGTGGACACAATAATTTAGATCAATTCACAAATAATGACATGTGGAGATTTATGAGATAAATACCATTATTATTGCCTTTCAAATGAAGAAAACAACATGACCAAACTTGATTCATTGTATAAGTTTTGTATCAACTGATGAGCTGAGGATACGTGTAATGATCGTTTTTCAAATTTCAATACATTTTCGCATTTGATCAATTCCAATCATGGCATATGATCATTGCAATTTATATATACAAAATTCTTTATTATCATGTTTTACGAGGAGTACTTCATATATTGCATTAAGAAGCGTTGGTGTTTCATATATTGCGTAGGAGTGGCCAGAAGAAGACCGGCTCTCATTTTTGCTCCACACGTTACACTCCTCATCTACTAATTTACATCTCCTTTGATTATGGTCAATAAGACGGGAACTATCTTAGCAAACTTGTCCATGCACTTCTCGTTGGTCGAATACGAGCAATACCAGATTAAGAATCTTTTGATTTCTAGCAAGATTGATCCTGTCAACTACAAATCCCAAGAACAAGATCATAAAAAAATCCTCTAATTCACCAATACAATCCATCTTTGACCGATTCAAGTTTTGACAAATGGAAGTAAGTTTGCGATACTTTTCATTCTGTGTCATGATCTACTCAAAGGGCTATTGTGTCATCAAGAACTTGAATCAAGTCTCGTATTTCTGAGAGTAGGTACGTGTTAGCTTCTGAACATGAAACATTTAAAATAGTGCCGCTAATGTTTCTAAGGATGTCAATGTTTGCTAATGTTGCGGTCCAGTCAAATGTTTGTAACAGGATCTTAACCACAAAGAATCTTGCTAGAAATAAAAAGATTTTTAATGTGTTATTGCTCGTATTCGACCAACGAGAAGTGCATGGACAAGTTTGCTAAGATAGTTCCCGTCTTATTGACCATAATCAAAGGAGATGTAAATTTTTCTAGCAAAAATAAGGAGAGCTGCGTTATAATCTTGTACGTTCGCTACAGACGAGTCCACAATATATCAAGTTGCTAATGATGTTTATAGTACTGATCGAGGTAAGAGAAAAGCCATTCGCATTCTTGAGATGCTGACTTCGCGTTCTTCAGATGATAAATAGGTAAACTATTATTCCTTTTAATCTTTACTACAATAATATACCGTCTAAATTGAATATGGTTGTCTCCGGACCATATCTTCGAATTAAAATACGACAAATTAAGATAAGTAGGGGTAGTACAAACCTGATATGATGTTTAATCTATTGTGTATGTAAATTGTAATACAAAATTATATAAAACTAAGTGTAGTCAAC